AATGAGTCGGAAGGGACCTAGACAGATCATCTAGTCCAACCCCCTGCCATGGGCAGGAAAGAGCACTGGGGGTGGGAGGGGTCATAAGACCCCAGCCAGGTGCCCATCCAGTTTCCTCTTGAAGATCTCCAGGGAAGGTGAGAGCACTACCTCTCTGGGAAGTCTATTCCAGGCTCTGGCCATCCTTACTGTGAAGTAGTTCTTCCTAATATCTAACCTAAACCTATCCTCCCTCAGCTTATGGCCATTGTTCCTGGTGACTCCAAGGGGGGCCCTGGTGAACAGACTTTCCCCGAGTCCCTGCTGATGGCCCCTGATAAAGTTGTAGGCAGCCACAACATCCCCCCTCAGTCTCCTCTTGTGGAGACTGAAGAGATTCAGGTCCCTCAGCCTCTCCTCAGAGGGCTGGCCACGGAGGCCCTCAACCATACGAGTGGCCCTCCTCTGGACCCTCTCCAGGTTCTCCACGCCCTTCTTGAAGTGCGATGCCCAGAACTGGACACAGTACTCCAGCTGTCGCCTGACCAGTGCCGCATAGAGGGGGAACAAGACCTCTCTGGACCTGGTAGTGATGCCCCTATTGATGCAGGACAGGGTGCGGTTGGCTCTGCCTGTTGCTTCGTCGCATTGGCGACTCATATTCATCCTGGAGTCAATCCTGACTCCAAGATCCCTCTCTGCCTCTGTGCTGCTGAGAGGGTCAGCCCCTAACCTATAACCATAATGCTGGTTCCCTCTCCCCAGGTGCAGCACCCTGCACTTGTCCTTGTTGAACCGCATCCTGTTCAGATCCGCCCACTTCTCCAACCTATCCAGGTCTGCCTGGATGCGGTCCCTGCCTGCCGGTGTATTCACTTTACCCCACAGCTTGGTGTCATCAGCGAACTTGAACAGGGTGCTCTCCACACCCTGTTCATGTACTCTTGAACCAGTGCATTGCGATTTTCCAGGTTCATTTTTTAACCATTTCAAGTCACTTTAAACCAGTTTAAAGGGCTTGGTACATCGGTTCACTTCAGGTTTAGGCTGCATTTAAACTGGTTTAAGCATTCTGTGTGTCCATACTAGGCGTGCACCAATAAAATTTTTTTGGACCAATACCAATGGCTGATTATTGACCAGCCATATCGGCTGATGCCAATCCAATTGCTGATATGCAGCCTGGGCGCTTGGAGAGCAACCTCTAGCTGGTAAGTCTGTTGAGGGGAAGGGATGTGTGTATGTGTGGACAGACACAGATTTAGGCCCCTCGTGGTGAGGGAGGGAGGGGGGATGGGGCAGGGGTAGGGGTAGCCGCTGTCCATCTGGGGTGTGGCAGCATGCAGGATGCTGGCAGCTCATCCAGAGGACAGGGAGGGGGAGCAGCTCCTGCCACTGCACACACCCCACAGGCGAGGCATGCAGGGGCACATACCCCCCAGATATGTGCATGGGGTGAGGGCTGGCTGCCTGCTGTGCACTTCGGACTGGGGCTGTTCCAGACACAGCCCCTGGATGAGTCACTGGCTCTATCCTGTGCCCTGCTCCATCCTTGGCTGGGCTGCCCCAGCCCCAGCCCCAGCCCCAGCCCCAGCCCTTCCCTCACTGTGGGGGCCTCAATCTGCACCCCCATGTCCCTTCTCTCCCCCACACCATTTCTCCACAACAGACTTACCAGCCAGGCACTGCTCTCCAAGCCACAGAGCTGCACTCCTGGCCCAATGCGTGCTGCGGCTGCACGCACGCATACAGCATTTATTGGCGACATTATCAGCCACATCAGCCAAAAAAAGCCGGTCACCGATAGTGGAAATTTTCCTTTCATGAGTGCCAATACAATATAGACTGATGTATCACTGCACCTCTAGTCCATACTCTATGTCATCAGAATTAGAAGTTGTTCTATTTGTTGGGAAACTCCTGTTTCTTGGGATACTCCTTAATTAGGCCATTGTTTTAACTGTCCTGCTTGGCTCTTCTAACAACTCTATTTATATAGTTTTGTGCAGCAAGTAATGGATTATTATTACACACACAGAGGCACATGCAATATTAATAAAAAGTAATACAGATTATCCAAGTTCAAATGTATCCTAGAGGAAAGAAGCTTTGGATCTCATCAGAAGCTGGCATGCAGACAATGAATCAAGGAGGTGGTTCTCTCATAGCAGCCCCTAGCAAGACATATTACTCTCTGGATGGCACACAACTACTTTCTCAGCTAGGTACAGTATAATCATAAAAAAGGAGGAAGGCAGGGTTTCATGTAAAAATAAAAACCAACAGTAATGTTCAGAGGCTTAATATCTGCAAGTTGTTATGAAAGCTCCTGGGTAGATTACCTTTGGGCAGATTATTTTTCACAGAATACAGCTCAATATCAAGTAATAATATGAAGAATTTTGGATTACTGTTCAATTAAGGCATTATTTATAAAACTACCAATAAGATGTACTTCAAGTCAGACTTTATAACACTTAAAAAGTATGCACAGTACTTTTATTATTAGCTATGAAAAATATAGCACAAATACTGGCTGATAATGTATGTGCCTGGAGATTTTTACTAGATTCATAATTTACATGTACTAAAATACATGACAAACTGCCTTAATTTGAGTGCTAATGGACATTTAGAGAAAAACACATTAACTTAATTATGTAAATGGTCATTTGTTAAACCACAACAGAAACAACTGCAAGAGAAATGAGACTACATTTACAGCCATTACAGAATACAAGTTCCCACCTTGTATATGGGGATATAAAGCTCTTGGGAATGTATTACCTTTCTATGGGAATATATTACCCCTATATTACCTTTATGGTAATATATTTCCTTTTTATTACAGCAATAACAGCAATACTATATCATTGCAACAACTGGAGACATCTTGATTATTTAGAGTATAATAAAGATGTGCAGAGATGTAGCTAGGCATACTGGTGCTGAAGGCATGTGGGGGGGAAGGGGTGCTGAGCAGGGCAGGGCTGTGTGATTACCCCTTCATGTAGGGGTTGCTGCAGCTCTGGGAGCACTGCAAGCTGCAAAACATGGGTCACTGTTGCAGTAGTAGTAGGTGCAGGTTCTCTGGGGGCTGCCTCTCTAAATCAGCACCTGAGGCTGGTGCTTGCCTAACCCTGTTTACATTACTGAGGATGTTGACTTGGTAAAATGATAAAGTTTGGGGACCACCTATCCAAGGCAGAATGTCTTTTGTTGTGATTGGTAAAATGAACTGGAGTACTGAAGGTTTAAACAGAAGATACCTGGAGGCAAGACATAACTATGGCTTTGGAACTCCCTACCAAGAAGCATCCAATACAAACCTCCATTTTTTTGGCCTTCACATACCTTTGGATACAGGTACAACAGAAAGAATGGTGTGGGGAATATTGTATTTCCACTTGTCAGGTATTTCACAGTATGTATAAATATTTTACAAGCAGAAACATTTTATGTTGTAACAATACTATCATATGACCACTGAGGTAAAGTATTTTAAAGTATGAAATTGAAGATTACAGGAAGTGAACATTAGTTGGCCATGCTTTGGGAGATTTGTTTTCAGACCCAATATGAAGAGGATCTCTATAGAGTTAAATACTCTACCTCCAAAAAAGGATGTCCCTCCAATCAAAACAAAAGTTACTTTTGAAAGAATACAGAAACCAGTGGTATTTAAAACACAAGAAACTGCATGTATGAAGGAGCTGCTCTTTTGATGAATGTTAATGAGGTCTGCTGGAAGTTGAAGCCTAGGTAGTTATTTTATGATAGTTCATGTAAAAAAGCTTTAAAAACAAGAATCTTCACTTTCAAAGGTTATTATAAAAATCACAGAAGTATGGGGCTGAAGAGGCTCTCAGGAGATCAAGTCTAACCCCTTGCACAAGGCAGGGACAACACTGTCTAAAACAGGCTAGCCAAAAGTCTGCCTAACCTGTGTTTATAAACTTCAAAGGAGAGGATTCCACTACCATTCCAGGTAATCTGTCCCAGAATTTAACTGCCCTCATAGTTAAAAGATTCTTCTTAATAGTCTACTTAAATATCCCTTGTTGCAATTTAAGCTCATTATGCATGTCCTATCTTCTGTGGACACAAAAAAGAGTTGATAGCCATCCTCTTTATAACAACAGTTTTTCGGGGGTCTCCCCCACCTCCCATTTGAGACTTATCAAATCCCCCACTCCATCAATATTTTCTTTTCTAGATAAAATGATCCCAGGACTTCTAACTTTCCCTAGTGTGCTGTGCCTATTAAAGATCTACATATTTCTTGTTGCTCTCTTTTGGACTTGTTCCAATCTGCTACCAATCACTTAATCTGCTTGAGGATTTTAATAATCTAAACACATTTGGCATATGAAAGCTTTCTAATTATGAAAAAATATACTGTAATTACTACACACCTACAACATACGGTATGTAATACTACATTTTAAAATGGACATATTGTGTCAAATATATAGCATTATATTATACCATTTTAAATATACTCAAAAGTATGCATAAAGAAACCAAGAACAAAGTATGTTAAAAGACTGATAAAACTAGATGACTTATTAAATACATATGGTAGCGTGCAACTTTGTTACAAATAAATTTAAATATAAACATGAATTATGGTTGGACATTTCCTGGGAAGTATTTGGAAACACAAGTATAACATTCACATCCTTGTATTATACCAGTAATGATTAGAATCACTGAGTTACTGCAAATAAATAAATTAGTAAATTTGCTTTCACTAAATATGAGTAAGCCAAGTCCATAACAATCACTATGATAAATTCTTCTTCTATTCTGTTTTGATTTAGGACAATCCGGGAATAATTAAAACTTTACAAGCACTGCAGTAAAAGATAGGAAGCAAGAGGCCTTTATAGTTTCAACTGTAGTGAATCAGCATTTTTGAATGCTAAGTAATTGTAAACTGATCAGCAACCTTACAAATAATTACACATAGCACCCAAAACAACGAGGGGATGCAAAAATAAAGACATCAAGGCCTGTACCTTGTGCTGGCAATGCTCGGCGATTCTGCTCCAAGTCTACATCTTTCTAGTTGACTAGCAACAATTTGCCTCTCCACCTCCAGTTCTCTGGTGAGTCTTTGAAACTGCAGCTCCTGTGATTTCAAAACAAAAATAAGGCATTCTGGGTGTTATAAGTTAGATGAGATCCTATTAATCCAAGGTATCAGAGTTAAAAAAAATGAGTGTAGATCAATAATGAAACAGTAATTGTGCATTATGATTTTCCCTTGTAACAACTCTTCAATAGTTAAAATTGTCTACTGGAATACTACAGTATACATTTTATAGCTCTTTAAACCAAAGCTAGCATAAACATAATTTCCACCCCCCCATTAAAAAAAGGAAAAAGGAAAAGAATAAAATGCTCAGCTATCTGTGGCATAAATAGGAGACATTTATTATCTGTTGCTATATGATCTATGATTTCAGTTATTCCAGTATCCTCCTCTGCTGCTGCACTTTGACACATTGATTGAAACTTGAAAATATACTTAACTATGTCTGCAACTGCTGAGAATACTGCAGCTTGTCATTCTTAGCTACAAAACTTTAAGCCCTCAGCTGCAGTACATGGTGATTTTACATTAAAAAATTTAAACACAATTGCAGTTTGAAAGTTGACAGAAACGTTACATAGACATTCCTCCACCTTTGAAAGCTATAACAAAAATTCTCATTCCAGTACTTGTTGTTTTCTCAGTTACACTTGCACCATCCCTCTCCGACAGCCTCAGATGCAGTCATGTAAAACAATGGTAATCAGAGGTTGCTTATTGTTTCTAAAAGCTTGAGATTTCACAGAGAAATGATACTCTGCTCTGTGGTAGATCACTGAAGGAAATCAAATCATATTACAAGAGGAAGGATTTTACTTTTACATAGATAGCTTTCATAAATGATCAAACAGGTGACATTAGAACATCAGTATTATTTTAAATGTATATGGTTCAACTTCTATATGCATTTTACATTCTGCACGTGAACTGAAATGGGTTTTTTAAATATTAATAAATGTTCATTAATACATATTAATACATGTGATCTGATGAAGAATGACTTGCATTCTAAAGGTTTAGAATTTTAAACAACAACCATTCAGTTGGTTCAATAAAAGATATCATCCCAAAAAATCTTGCTGCTTGCAATAAATGTTTAAGCATCAGAATCCTAAACAGAATAGATATTTTTAAAAGGGTAATGTAACAACTTTACCTGCGCTGTTCAATTTCTTCATCAGCGATTTGGACGATGGGGTGAAATGCAACCTGTTTAAATTTGCTGATGATACCAAAATTTGGGGTAAGGTGAGCACACTAGTAGGGAGGGAAAGACTACAATAAGACCTGGATACGTTACAGGAGTGGGCTGACATGAACAGGATGCATTTTAATACTGACAAGTGCAGGGTGCTGCACATAGGCAGTAGAAACCAGCAGCACCCTTATAGAACGGGAAACTCCCTTCTTGAGAGCACGGAGGCAAAAAGGGATCTTGGAGTCATTACTGACTCCAAGAGGAACATGGGCCGACAATGCGAGGTCACGGTTGGCAGGGCTAACCGGACCTTGTCGTGCATCCACAGGTGCATCTCAAGTAGAGCCAGGGAGGTGATCCTCCCCCTCTATGCAACGCTGGTCAGGCCACAGCTGGAGTACTGCGTCCAGTTCTGTGTGCCCCATTTCAGGAGGGATGTGGGCAACATTGAAAGGGTCCAGAGGAGGGCCACCCGCATGATCTGGGGACAACAGGGCAGACCCTACAATGAAAGACTGAGGGACCTGAACCTGTTCAGCCTTCACAAGAGAAGGCTGAGGGGGGACCTGGTGACTGTCTATAAACTCACTAGGGGGGACCAGAAGGGTTTGGGGGAGACACTGTTTCCCCCAGAGCCCCCTGGCATGACAAGGAACAATGGACACAAATTATTGGAGAGCAGGTTTAGATTAGACATCCGCAAGAACTACTTCACAGTTAGGGCGGCTAGGAGCTGGAACCAACTTCCTAGGGAAGTGGTGCTGGCTCCTACCCTGGGGGTCTTTAAGAGGAGGCTTGATGACTACCTGGCTGGACTCATTTGAGTCCAGTCTTTTCTCCCACCCAGGCGGGGGGTTGGACTTGAAGATCTACAAGGTCCCTTCCGACCCGACTTCTATGATTCTATGAACTTTTGCCATGCAAGTGGGTTTGACACAGCCATGTTCTGTAGGAGTTTCAGACTGTGCTGCTGGAACTCCATTTTGTCTTGTCCAGCTCACGGGCAGCTCTTATAACAATAGGGACATATTAACACTTAATTCTCTAAGTAAAAGATAGTTGGGTAAACTGAGGCCATATTCTCAGCCTGCGTCCAAAATGTGCCAATAGCTGCCTTGCAACAGAGGTTTGGCAAGCTGGTCAATAGACTGCATATTTTTTGACTGGTCAAAGATTATAGCAATTTTATGGGGAATGAATATATTTTTGCAGTTCTCTCGATTGAAATATGATTTTTTTTTTTGCAAAAATTCTTAATGGAAAATTTGTGCTTCTTCTGTGTATGATCTGATCATATTAGCAATTTTCTGACTGATATTTGACTGGTCAGTTGACAACTTTATTTGACCAGTTAAATACCAAACCCTAATTATAACAATGTGAACACACAGTTAACAGAGAAATATTCCATTAAAACCCTTACTCCATCACAATGACAAGGGAAACTAGGCATTGAAGTCTACAGAACTTTCACTGGGATCCTCAAAGCCAATCAGAACAACTCTGGTACTTTTGGTAGTGGCAGCTTTGATACCAACAAACTCTCTACTAACCCTGGAGCAGGCAGAGCCAGGTTTGGAATATGCCATGACAATAGATATTAGACATTATAATCAGATGAAGAACCTGGTAAATATCCAAGTAACACACTAAGAATGAGTAGCCAGCAGGACATCATCCAGGTTTTGTCTCATTGGCTCAGGCAGTAAGGAAGATAGCAGACACTTCAGATTCCTCATACAGGAGACTATATACACCCAGCTGTATAATACTGCTTGGAAACGATTCCAAATGCATGGGCATGAAGCACATGCACATCTACAATGGGATCCAAAATAGACACATGCTTAAAATATATCTTTTGATTAGCCTCTGGATATTCCTATTTGTGAGATTAACAAAGAGTGCAATTGTGGAGCTCTGGTTGAATAAGGGCTATAAAACAACCAAAACAAAAGTTCAGTGCTGGTTGAAAGTTGAAATATTATTAGAAGAGACTGCAATGTTACTCTGCTGAAAGTTTTTTGGAAATACAATATATTTTTTGAACACATATTGAACTTAGGTAACATCTAAAAACCTTTTGAGAAAGAATGATGGAATCCTAGAGATGTTATCTGCAGACTCGTTGAATGTATTATGACATCTCTAAGTGAGTAAATAACTGGAAAGTCTTAATAATGGTCTAAAAACATGTTGAAGAAAGATAAACCATCACCTGCACTGATGGAAACAGTAATGAGTGGAGGCTGGAAATGGAGATGATGAAAGATATTGTGCAAATTATATCTCCTGTACAAATTAGTTTACAGAAAATTAGCCTTTTGACCTGTTTCTCACAGCCTTAAGAGATTACCTGTGGCTCTTATGAATGCCCTCTTCATAGGTATGTGATATCGTCATCTTACAAAAGGGCCAAGGGATTTACACAAGACCACATCCAAAGAAAAAACATGAATCACAGAAAATACCACCAAAGTAGCTAAGTATATTTCACTATACTGTAGGTAAGGAGAAATCCATTTTTCTTTTAAATGGCCATCAGTCCAAAGCAATTACCTTAAGAAACCTCAGGGGTACATACAGCAACCTTTCCTTAACAAATCTAAGTTTTTTTGTGGGAGTGGAGATGGGAGGAGGGGCTTGTTTACTGCATCAGTTGTACAGCTGATGCTGATCTGGTCAACTGGAACACCTGTGAACTCAGGTAGTTGTGTCTATTGTTCCCAAAGCACAGCACAGAACTCAATTATATGAGAGATCCTAAATTTGTTATAAGATGCTAAAAGGTGCTTTGTAACTCTTGGCATTCAGGAGGTGCAGTACTAGATAGTCTAGTTGATTCCTTAGATTTATGTGAACTGGTTAAGCAAGGAAACTGAACTGGGCAACACAAACTGCCTACAGTGTCCTGGGGCTAGTGGATCTCCAAAGTGTTCTTTTACATCATTCCCATCTTGTCAGAAAGCTGAAGGATATTTGACAGGTCAGAGCCTGTTCAATCTTGGTCTGCAGTGGCATGGCTGCTACTTTTCTGGTGGCTCTGCATCTTCTGTATGACCTCTGCATATTCCTGCTTGGTCCATCTGGCACTGAGTTGTGGAATCTTCTGAAGAACAGCGTTCACTGATATGTTAGGAAATAAGTAAGGCAACAAGGACAAACTCATCTGCACCACTGATGGTTAAGGCCACTTCCCTTTAACATTTTTCAGACTCCTACAGGAGGATAGGGAGGGAAAAGGCATCAGTGAACCCTGTTCTTCAGATTCCACAACTCAGTGCCAAGTGGACCAAGCAGGAATATGCAGAGGTCATACAGAAGATGCAGAGCCACCAAAAAGTAGCAGCCATGCCACTGCAGACCAAGACTGAACAGGCTCTGACCTGTCAAATATCCTTCAGCTTTCTGACAAGATGGGAACGATGTAAAAGAACACTCCCCTAGTGCAAATGAAAATAATCTGATATACATTAAAGCAGAACTGTCCAATTTCTAAGTGGCTGGGGGCTCATTTGCATGGCCTCATAAACATGTAGCACCCCTATGCTGATGCTTAGGGCTGGGGGTCAGCATTGGGACCACAAGAATCCTGGTCCCAATGCTGAAAAACAACTGCTGGGACAGAAGATTACAAGGTTCCCTGGAAAACAGAGCTGAGAAGCTCCAGGTGCTGGGAACCTGGCAAGCCCTGAGCCTGGCCACCTTTCCTGTCTTGCCCTGTGGTCCCCTTGGGGGCCACATGACCAAACACTTAAAAATGCCAGGTTTACAGGGAGCCAAGTTGAACCTGAACTTTTTAGATATCCCAAAGGATGGGAGGGGGGAGGGGCTCCCC